GGGCCAGGGGGAAGCCAGCCCAGGTCCTGGGTGCCTGCCGGCGGCCGGAGGAGGGAAGCCCGGGTCTCAGGTGCCGGAGGGAAGCCGGTGTCGGCAGCCGGGGGAAGGAAGGCCTACTCTTGCGCGGATTTCCGTGCACTGGGCCTCTAGTTTTAAAATACCTAAGTAGAAATATTCAAAAATGGATAGGACTCCATCGCCCTGTGGCGTCTGAGCGCATCCCAGCCTCCTGTTGACCTGGAGGAACCCCTCCTCTTTGTGGAGGACCTGAGCCGGGGGCGGGCTCCGTGCGGACGGGGCGGGCCTGCGCGTTGGTGTGGGGCTCAGGGCCCTGCTGCCGCACGGGAGAGCTCCCCGCGTGTCTGTCGAATGGAGGGAGGAGGCATGAGGAAAAGGCAGGCTCTCGGCGCTCCGTTCCGCCTCCACTCGGGGTCCCTGAGAACACGTCCCGAGCAGCTCGGATCTGAAACCCGGTCTCTCGGGTCAGACGCTCGGGAGTCTTCCACCCTCTCCCGTGCTTTTGACCATTTTTTTAAAATTTTTTTATTGATTGATTTGAGGGAGGAAGGGAGAGAGAGAGAGAGAGAGAAAAACATCGATTTGTTGTCCTACTTATCTATCTGTTCATTGATCGATTCTGACCAGGGATCGAACCCGCAGCCTCGGCGTAGCAGGACGGCACTCTGACGCTCGGAGATTTCCTCCAGGGCCGGTGCTCCGCTGTCTTTACAGGCTCCCAGGCAGCACTGATCACGGTGTCGGCCGCACGGCAGGCTTCCGTGTTCGACTTCATCCACGGGGCCAGAGCCTCCTGTGGAGACGGGACGGTCCTCGGCTCAGCCTCTGAGCCCGGGGAGGGTGGGCAGCGGCCGGGCAGGGGTGGTCCAACTGCTTCAGGTCCCGGGACAGTGCGTTCACATCTGCTTCGTTCCGTGGCTGAGCCTCTTTGCCTCAGCCTCCCCCGTGAGCCCCAGAAATGCGCTATCTGCTCGGCCTCCTCTGTCTCGGATTGCGTGTCCCGCGGGGAAAACGCACCTCCCAGCACTGGCCAGGCTGCGCCCCGCGTGCAAAGCTATGCGTGTCCTGCTGGCTTCCCGTGACCACCTCGGAGGCCGGGGCACAGCAGCGTCTGTGGCCGCGTGCAGAGACGAACGGCCACGTGTGTTCTCAGAGTTAGCAGCACAGCCCTGTCCGCTGCAGACGCCTCACTTTCCAGTCGCGGGCACTTCACGGGGCACGAATTGGGCCATGGCCTTGTCCTGGCAA